GATGTACTCTGCATATAAGTTAAATAAGCAGGGTAACAATATAGAGACCACGTAAAACTCAGGCCTTTGTTCTCCCAGAGTTATGCTTTTTTAAAAAATATTTAAGTATTTATTTTATTTATGGGTTAGGTCTCAGTTCTGGCATGTAGGATCTTTTTGTTTTGGGGTGCAGGCTCTGTCCTGTGGCGTGAAAGGTAGGCTTTTCTCTAGTTCTGGCTTGAAGGCTCCAGAGCATGTGGACTCAGTAGTTGCCCCACAACATGCGGTATCTTAGTTCCCCCACCAGGGATCGAACCTATGTCCTCTGCATTGTAAGATTCTCAACCACTGCACCACTGGGGGAGTCCCTGTGTTATTCTGCTCTGTTTGTTTTGCCACAAAATGTTACATCAAATCACTGTGTTTTCTCTCAGGTAGATGCTTTCTTTCTTCAACCATAACACAAGCATCTGGCAGGGAGCTGTGTCCTAAATTTTTCACATGCCCTGCACCTGAGCATCATGTCTTACATGATGCAACTATGCAATACATCCTTGTTAATCAATCAGTGAGTTAAGAAGGTAATTTTTTCTGTGAGATTTTTAATTTTATGCTTGAAAGATGAAATGTGTTACTTTCAGGGTTTTTACTACTGAAAAAATATTGAAGTATGAAAATACAGTTGTTTTCAGAAACCATCATCATTTCCTGCAGATTTCAGTCCTTTTGTCTTAATATAGCAAAGTTTATTAACATCTATATCTATTATCTAGCTTAGAGAAAAAATATAAACAAACATGACAAAATATTAACATTTTTGCTTTTGTTTATGTGGAAGAAGTCATCAGTCCAAAAATCAACTATAGTTTTGGGGTCTTAATTAAATTATACTAAATTAAAAAAATACTATTAATTCTCCCTGCAGAAATAGATATTAAGCAAGTGTTCAACTTGACTATTACATTTAGAAAATCGGCATCTGTGTGTTTCTCTTATTTTGAATGCCATATAGCTACAAAATTATCTGAAATACTTGTGGTCTTACTGTCACATGAGCTTTTTCCAAGGTATTTCTAAATGGACATTTTATTGAATACAAAATTTCCAGCCAAATGTATTTGCTGTGAGGATTGTAGCAACTGATGAGGTTCTTTTGTTTGTTTTCTGAGATGTTGCGTTAATTTCCTGGGGCTCCCATGACAAAGTACCACAAACTGAGCTGCTTGAAACAACAGAAATATATTGTGCCAGAATTCTGGACTCTAGACGTTCAAAATCAACATGTTGGCAGGGCCGCTCTCCTTCTGAAATCTGAGGTGGGAATCTCTCCCTGCCTCTTCCTGGTGTCCAGGGGCGGCCACCAGTCCCTCGTGTTCCTTGGCTTCCAGCTCAATCACCCCAGTTTCTGTCTGTGTCATTGCAGGGCCTTGTCCTGTGTGATGGAATCTTCGCCTGGCATTTCCCTCTTCTCATAAGGACACCATTTACAATGGGTTCTGGACCATCCTAACGACCCCCTCTTAGCTTGGTTACATCTGCAAAGACCCTATTTTCTTTCCTTTTTTAAAAACAGTTGTTTGTTTATTGTTTATTTATGGCT